TAGTCACAAAAATAGAGTTAATAGAAACAGCAAAAAGCTTTCCTGTAAGCTGTGCCTGACAATGGAATTTTTTGTTACAATAGCACTAAGGAACCTATTGATGTATTTCATTGAAGCAACTTGTACAGTAATGCCAAATGAGATAATTCATTAATAGGATACTGAAATGAGAATAGAAAATGACTTAGTCAGACCTGTCCAGTTCAGAAAGCATATTATTTTATGACTTTTTCTTCATTATTCTGACAGTGATAACGGGTAGTAAAAAAAGCTAACAAAGGAAGAGAGGTTTTAAAAGAGAAATCGTGACAAGTACATTATATTTTTGTAATTTGCCTATAAAGTATCTTATTTAAAAAGAAAAATGAACTTACATGAAAACTGAAAACATGTATTTGCAAATGAATAAAAATTTGAGTGATAATTACAAATATAGCATATTTATTACCATTTAGGTTGGAAAATAATAAATCTACAATACATATATATCATCATATATGGAGAACCTTTATCCCTAAAATGTTCATTTTTATAGAGTCATTTTAGGACATAAATGAAACTCTCCCCTTGTCCTCAATACACACATGTATTTAAAAAATGAAGCTGATCATTTTCTCCATGGCGATAGTGTTTCTTTTTATTTGCAAAGTTTTTCTATTTTAAAACAGCTTTTTAAAATAAAGTTTTATGTTAAAACAATCATAAAATTACAAAAAGTTTCAAAGTACTGCACCAATAACTTTTCTGAACCACTTGAGAATAAATTGCAATCCTGGTGCCCCACCATTTCCAAGTATTTCACTGTATGTTTCCTACAGACAAGAACATTCTCCAACCAAATCAAAATACAACCATTCAAATTAGGAAATTTACATTGCTACATGGCTACCATTATAATCTTAAGGTTCCATGCAAGTGGACCAGTTGTGCCAATAATTTTTTATAGCAAAAGAAACAATTCAGAATTACTGCTTTTAGTTATAATGTCTCTTTAGTCTTCTTCAGTCTGAAATAACCCCTCAGTCTTTTCTTGACTTTCCTAATCTAATGTCTCTCATTAATAATGCTTTAATGTAGCTCTGGTTTTAATTTATATTTATAATTCAAGGGATCTTTTGTCTTAGAGAATGTCCAGATAAGGTATAATGTTTCAGTGCCATTTGTGAATAGTTATATGTATGTTGTGTGTGTGTCCTTAGGCATTCTCACAAATAAGAGGATTTTTTATTTAAAAATAAAACTCATCATTATCACTATTTATATGCTGTTAGATTATTTCCATGGAAACAATTCCTAAATTTCATTTTATTTTATTTTTTTAAGATTGATTTATTTATTTATTTATTTATTTATTTATTTATTTATTTATTTAGAGGGAGAGTGCAAGGTGGGGAAGGGCAGAGGGAGAGAGAGAGAGAATCTTAAGCAGATTCCATGCTGAGCATGGAACCCGATGAAGGGCTCAATCTCATGACCCTGAGTTCATGACCTGAGCAAAAACTGGGAGTTGGACGCCTAACTGACTGAGCTACCCAGGTACCTCCTAAATTTCATTTAAAAAAATTGTTCTATCCTTTCATTTTTATCTTGGCAAATACTATGTTTCTTGACTAAATGTAAAACATTTTAATGACAAAAGCAAAGAAATAAGTTACACTACTTTTTGGGTTTCTTTAGTTGTTATAAATATTAATTTCCTTAGTTTGAAATTATTTTCCTCCCTTGTCATGCCTTAGCTATTATGTGTAACTTAAAGCCACCAGAGGGAGGATGTGTGTGTGTGTGTGTGTGCGTGTGTGTGTTATGTGTAGGTTTAAAAATCTAAGCTCAGCTATCTGCTATTGAGAGACTCATCTGATTATAATATTTGATATTTCATATAATTTTCAATGGTGAAAAGTAATCAAGTGATTTAATATGCCCAGGTCATATAACAGATATTTCTAATTATGAATCAACATATTCGCATTCTTGTTTATTTATTGAGTGTTAACTATTTGCCAGATACACTTTTAGGCACTGGAAATTCAGCAGTAGCAAAACAGAGGAAAAAAGTCTTCTTAATAGAACTTTTCCTGAGGAGCTCATCTCCAAGTAAACAAAGAGTCAAAATAATTCAAAGAACCATAAGTAATACGAAGAAAATCAAAAGGAATAGTGGAATGGCATAAAGGCAAAGAAGGGACAAACTTATGTGATGTACTCTGAAGAGGCAACATCTGAAGAAAGATGTGAATCATAAGTAAGGTCTAGCCATGCAAAGATTCGTGGTAAGAGAGTTCTAGATAGAGAAATAGCTAGTATAAAAACTCCAAATGGGAACAAACTCATTTTTTTACTTCCCTTCAAAAAATGTAATTTAGGAGATAATTCTGCTATGAGGAAAATTGTACCGTGAAATCTAAAAGTTTTCTTTTTGTTTATCCATTTTTTTAGGATGTTCAATATCCTCAATTATTACACATAATCAAGACCTACTGTTTCAGGGATTTTTAAGCAAATGTGTATCTGAGGAATTTAATTTTCTCACTCATTCATATACCTAGAAGAATGATCATAAAGGAACAGTTTAAGAAAGTTTATAATAGCAACTTGTATGTACTAACAAAAATAATTTGTCCCAGAATCTGCATATATCAAAATGTCTCATATATCAAAATATTACTTTACTGAAAGGATACACATTTTAATGTAGGTTATATTGTAATTCTTACATATTTTCACATATTGCACAGATTGACTTTTAAGACAAAATGAAAAGAGAAAATCACTGAGGAACCGATAAGGACTTAGCATCTTGTTTGTATCTCTGAGGAAAGCATGAGCTATCTCTTATTGGAGTAATCATTATAAAACTAAAATTGTTTTCCCAAAAATGACATTTTTCCTTTACTTTCATTGGAAGTAAAAAATAAAAGATAGTAGAAAGTCTCCCATATCTCTTAGTTACAGGTCTAAATTGATGATTAGAAGGTACTATATTTAATACATAGTGAAAAATTTTATTTTTATTCAAGACAAAAGTTTACACAATTCTCATTTTATAGACACCAAAGTTAAATACAGTTCTCTGTATTTTATGTATGTCCTTGGTTCTTTAGATTTTTGTCTATAAGTTAAAAAATAACATACTAGATTAGATATAACTTTGAAAATGATTTTTTAAAATGCAAAACTAAAATAGCTATACAACTTATACATGCATAACGGTCTGCCAAGGAGACCCAGTGTCATTTCTACACATCTTTACAATGTTTTTTAATGCCAGACGTAGTTAAATCCATATTATTCTAATAATTTTATTCTGTTTGATAGCGGGCCATAGTTTAAAAGCCTGCAGAATACCCCGGCACCAACGATGAGCATCATTACTCTGAACTGTTAACACAGCTACCTCATATTAAGTCCATATTATCAATATATGGTCAGATTTTAACTTGTATTTAAATTTTCTATTTAGAAATATATATATATTTAAAAAACTGATAATCTGTGTCAAATTTATTTTATATTTACATCAAAACTATTATTTGAAAGCAGAGGGGAAAGGATTTTCCTCCACATACTCAATATTTTCTTCTTGACCTAAACGTATACATTTAGATGAAGGGGACAACTGCTCTTTTGCTGTAGTTTGGTTTCTACTTAGCCATATTTCCATTCTACTTTAAATGTAGACATTTATAGCATTAGGGATGGCAATGTTGGCAACTAGCTGCATTTGCAGAAGATTACTGCCGAACAAGTAACACTCTCAACCATATCCCCATCTTTGTTTATGCCCCCAACCTGGGAGAGGTGCCTTCCATTAGACCTATGTACAATGCTTTGGCTTAGAGAAAAGCTACTCAAAATTGCAGGATGTCCAGCTTTGGAGATATTTCCTCCTTTTCATGTTCTCTCCTTGTCTTCCACTTATAAGGAAATGAATAGATGTTTAATCTCTATGTATATTTTAGAAAATGAAATCATATCATTATTGAAACTTTTATATTGTGTTGACAGAATTTTCATACATAATATCATATATGAAATGTATTTGAAGGTATTATATCGATATATTGGTTAACAAAATCAATGAAATTCAGCCTAGTTAGCTTATGGAAAGTATTTAAAAAGTAAAAAATAAAATTAAGTTTTGGTCCTGCAGTTGAAAGGTCTCAAAGTCCTGCTTATATGTTGGAAAATTAATCACTGTATTCATTATTTTTCTGCAATACTGTAGGAGGGTATAATAGCAATATAGTACTTTCAATAATTTAATTGTAACATATACAAGTCATATTGATTTATTTGGGTAAAAATTTCCCATTTTAAATAATTTTTGACTTTCAAAAATATTTTTTTCTGTACAAGACAAAATTCTATTATTGGACATGAATAAGGCAAGGCAGGAGGAAACAAAGTATTTTATTAAACTAAAGATTACATACAATTTGAAGGATTACTTTTCCCATAAAAATATCCTGTGCTTTTATATAAACCAAATTTTAAATAGACTAGTAAAAAAGGACAGTTTGAAAGAATATATAAAATTTCTGACAAACCATTTTGGATCTTTAGAAAAATTTTAATCACTTTGATGAAATATTTTTGCATATTCTTGATTTAAAAACTGAAAACTATAACAATCCATAAATTAACTTGAAGAATTACCAAATGATTAGATTGAACCTTTTGAAACTGTTGATTATTTAGAGCTATAAAAATGTCAGTTTCATAAGTTTCAATGTGGTGACTTCCTGGTGTGCGTGTTCACCTATGAGAAGAAACTTAAATGGACTCTTCCCACTTTAACTTGTAATTACACAGTTTGATAAAGCACAATGCATTTTTACTTAATATGAATCTCACAGGACACTGCACTTTTCAGGCTCTAGGAAAAAATTATAGAAAGATTAACTCAATCAAAATGGCTAAGCATAGCCAAAATAAAAATAGTCCTTTTTTTCTACTACTAAAAATAAAATTCAAAATTTACAAAATACACAGTCACTTACTTTGGTAGAGTTTTCAAATGATTTTCTCTTAACTCCAAGATCCGCAATTTGACAAGTCTGTAGAAGTGAATAAAAAAATTGCTTTTTAATATTTCTCTATAAATCGATATTCCTATGAGAAAGTCAATTATCACTGCACTATCCAAACAACTATGTCTGAAATTACATATTATGGTTACAGAGTTTAAAGAATTATACAAATTGATTATAATTAGGGTTGCATCAACATTGGACAATGACAAATATCGGTTTACTAAAAATAAACATCATTCAAAGATATCATTGGGTCCAAGTAATCTAAATTTCATGTTTTATAAAAATACATTCACTTGTTTAATTGTAGGTGACAGATTATTTAATATCTACTTAATACCAGATGCTGTGTTCACTTGAATATGGCAATACTGTACCTCAAGAGACTCTAAATGAACTTGTAAAGCAAATAGTATAGCATAGTGCTTAAAAGCTTGAGCTTTGTGGTCAGACGAATCTGGATGCAATCCAGACTCTGTCATAGTCTATCGTTGTGGCATTGGGTGCATTAATCAACCTCTTCTAACTGTAGTTTCCCAAACTAAGTTTCTACATCTCACACTTAGCTACCTGTGAAGCTCTACAGTGTGAGACACACTATTGTTAAAATGTCTAAAACTGAGCTTTAAAGCGTACTCAGTTGAGGCTACTTTAGAACAAATATTAGGGGCGCCTGGGTGGCTCAGTCTGTTATGCATCTGCCTTAGGCTCAGGTTATGATCCCAGGGTCCTGAAATCAAGCCCCACATCAGGCTCCCTGCTTAGCAGGGAGCCTGCTTCTCCCTCTCCCCCTGCTTGTGCGCTTTCTTGCTCTCTCTCTCTTTCAAATAAATAAATAAAATCTTTTTTAAAAAAAGGACTAATATTAATTGGATTCTTTGAATTCTTGGTGTTTGGGGAATATTTCAGTATTTGAACTATTTCTCCCATATTTACTTGCCTTTTAGATATTCATCTAGGTCTCTTCCCCTTTTCTTTGTGTTGTGACTGCTACCAAATTTCTAATTTTAATTTTAAAACTCTTAATCTCTATATGAAATAAAGTGATTCAGTTATTCAAGAGCATGGGTATATTGCTAGTAAAAGAGGTTTCTTAAACATCTGTATGTCTCATATCTTCTCAACATCTGTACTAGTATGAAGTTATTTTGTGACTTATTCTGGCTTTTAGGGACACCAAATCTCATGTTTTGGAAGGAAATTCAATAATTCTTTTGTTACATTATCCAGCTGAAGGTTAAAAATCTTTTTAGACTATAATAATAAAGTAGAGCATATCTTAGCAGACAATTTACACAAAATTAAATTCTAATTCCAAGTGGTTTTGGTATTATGTTTTCTGTTTGCCCAAATCTCTTCCTTGACATTAGGACCACTAAAAGAGAACTGAGAAAAATTTAAGAGAAAAGAGTATGGTCTAGGGTGATAAATATTCTCTAATTTGAATAATCAAAAGTTTTTGTATTGTTGCAGTTAGTACCAGACGGCAATGATAGTTTATATGAACAAATGGTGAAGTGCCAACTCATTTAGAAACTAAGCAAATGCTCTTTTGAAGATCTGTGAATTTTAAAAACTCTCCAACTATATGGTGTTCATAGGTAGTATGATATCATGATCTGCAAAAGTAATGGAACTTGGGAAATGCTGATATGCTCTCTGTATACAAAATGAGGCTGTTACAGGTTAAAGTACTTAATTATTCTACTGAGCTCTTCTTAACACCAACAGGTGTGTGTTGAGTTATACCCAATTTACTATATGAACAATTTCAAAAGTGATCACTTAGAAATATACAGTTGATGATATTTATAAAATGTCTTTACTTTTAAGATATATCTTTTATACATAAAAAAATAGTTCATTGTCAAACACCTGGAAAATATTGGAAAATATGAAGATGAAAATAAAAATTATCCATAATTTCACTTCCAAGGAACCAGTCTTTTACCTTACTCTAGAAATAAAGTACAAAAGCTGTAGTTGTAAATATTTTCAAATCTTTTAAAACACATTGTTCTGCATGAAGGTGATAAAATTCTGTACTTCCATCAGCTGTGTGTGAGATTTTTTTCCTTATACTGTATAAACAGTTTTTATAATATGATAGAACACAAAGCTCTTTATTATCATTTTAATTTGTATTATTTTTATTGTTTGTGAGGATAAACACTTCATGTGTTCACTAGCAATTTGTCCAATTAATTATTAATTACTTGTATGTGTCATTTACCTATTTCTTTTCTAATGAGATCTTCGTCTTACTCGTTTATAAGAATTTTTATATGTTAAGGATATAATTTGCTTTTCCATATATAGTGGAAATGTTTTCCCAGCTTATTGTTTTACCTTAATTTTAAAATACCTTCTGATATTATTTTATTTTAAATGTATTGATGTAGTCAAATATATCTATCCATTTATTATATTTTCCTTTGTTTCTAAACTATAGAGGTATTTCCCAACCCAAGAGCCATAAATATTCATGTGCATTTTTTCCAGATTACATCTGATATTATTTTTTGTATATTTAACTCTTTAATTCACCTGGAATTTATTTGATTATTAGTGACATGTAAAAACCTAATTTTACTTCATTTTGGAAAATGTTTCATTAATTAACATTGTCTCACCTAATGAATAATAATGAGTCCTATCTTCAATCATAATTGTCACATTTGAAGCCTCATCTACTGGAGCTGGTAAATACTTACCTAAAGTGAAATAAAATTTCATCATTTAAAGTTTGTATTCTTACCTTCCAAAATTAGCTGGAAGAAATTCAAGAAAGGCGTCATTCAGGTAGAGCTGGGTCAGATTTAGAAGCTGCGTGAAGCCATCAGGGAGTCTAGAAAGGAGTTAAAGGGTTAGTCACTGCATCGATGTTGCCATAGAAACAGAACAAAAATATATATCTCTAAGGAGAGAAAATAGAAGTGTAATACATTTTTCAACTCTCCTTTGGAATCATAGCAATGGAAGAATTTATTGAGCATGTTGTTACAGCTTGAAAATTTTGCCTGTTATTAAAATAAATGGCATTCACCCACCTACACACTGCTCTCCTATGCGGAGATTTATGTCACAGCGACATCATCTCTTACTGTTGCCCTAACCTTATGTACACCAGTGAGATATTTTTTATAGAAATTTCAGGTTGTATGCCATGTTTTGTAATTTTAAATTTAATATTCTTTCTCAACAGAATATTCACATTTATAGTCAGGCAAGATATCTGCTTACTCTTTCACAAAATCATTAACATGTGTCTATACTTTATTGCAATGATGACTAAAACTGTCCAACAGGAAGGGAGAAGTATTCTGTCCCCCCAACTGATAATGTATGTACATTGTAATTCAAATTTGTTCAATTAACTTTCAACAAAAATGACCAATAACATTGAAACTATGAATATACAGAATCCTAAATGCTTTAAGAGGCATTAAAAGAGTAGAAGAACTATCCTTTGGGAAAATTTACCAGTTGGATGAAATAGTTATTTGAAATATTTAAATATTTTTTGCCAAAAAAGATTTAACTCAAGGGTTTTCCTGGAGACTTTTTCTTAGAATATTTAAATTTTTCCTATAATTAAATTTCTATTTAAACATTTTTAAATGCCTTTATCAGTGGTCTAGACAAGACTATGTTCTTTTATAAAATACTTCTAAATAATGTTCAAATTTGTCTTCACCTCAAATTACAGCCCATCTCCCTCCTTGCATTTACTGACAAAATTATTTAAAAACTATACTCACTGCTTTTTATTACTCGTCAAGCCATTGTTTTCTGGCATCTACCCCAACTCTATTACTGAAAGTACTCGCCAAAGCCTCCAATGACCTCTTAAGTCCCAATTCCATTAACTGCATTTCATTTTGTATCCAGCCCTGACTAGCAACAGTTGTCATCGATTGTTCTCTCAGTCTTGGCTTCTAGTACACCCATTTCCTGTTTCCCCTCCTCCTCCTCCCAGGATACTCTGAGTTTCTCTTCCTATGCCCCATCTTTAGTTATGAAAGGTTATATATCTAAAAGAATACATGTGTATCTCACAACATAATTTAATAAATAGAAGCGGTACCTTGAAAGAACCTGAGTGCCCCTCCCCGACTACCTCATCCTATTTGCCTCTCAAATTCCTGAATGATGAATGAATATTTTCCTGAAACTTTTAAAAGTTAGTATTGAATTGTGAAATTCACCCATTTTGATGTCAATGACTGATTACCATAGTATTCCACTGTATGAATATACCACAATTTATTTATTATTCTCCTTTTAATGAACATTACAGTTGTTTCTATTTTATTATAAACATTTTTTCTGCAAATATTTTTTTTAGCATATGTCTTGGTGGATAAAGATTACTTAAATTATGTCCCTCATCATAAGAAATTAATGTCCCTCAGGAACAGCCCTCAACTAATGACTAGCAAGACTATAAATACCTCAGCTCCTGCACCCATTACGTTTGACACCACTGTGATACATATTTTATACTGTTTCCCAGAGTTCCCCAGAGAGATTAAGGTCCAGTTGTCCATACCAGTAAATAGTCTGATAACATACCCTTGACAAGTATTTCTTGAGACCATATCCTAAATCTACTGCTTAAATTCTTTTCTAAACATCCACTTCTGGGGAATCCAAACTAAACACAATTAATATTTTTACATTACTTTGTATGAATTCTTTACACACTGTTAGGGTACTCTTCTCTTGATTATTTTTGTTGCAAATATCTTGTTCCAGTTTGTATTTTGAAGTCGGATTGTTTTTATGGCTTCATAGAGGTTGTTTCCACAAATTTCCCTTAAAGAGGTAGGATTCATGAAAATAGAAAAAGAGAAAGAAGGCAGAGTAATAATGTAAAGGTGAGAATTCACCTTAGGGGAGTGAGAGAAGACGAGTTCTAGAGAAAATACTTTTTGTACAAGAGTATTGGGAGTTAAGATTTGAGAATATAAGTAGGGGACAGGGTTTAGAGGGTACTGGATGTTTGACTCCAAGGTTTGAATTTTATTCTATAGGATTAAAAAAATCTATGGGAGATCGTTGTTTTTCTCTAAGTTATCTTTTGTTGTAATACATTAGCTCATGTCCTGATAGTATGATAGTTTTTATCATAATGGTACAGATGTCCAATAGATTTCAATATACATTTAATTACTATCTTACTCTAATGTCCTTATGGTTCCACACTCATTGGAGAGAAGGTATCATTTATGACTTTTTTATTTATTTTTTAAATTATTATATTATGTTAATCACCATACATTACATCATTAGTTTTTGATGTAGTGTTCCATGATTCATTGTTTGCGTATAACACCCAGTGCTCCATGCAGTACGTGCCCTCTTTAATACCCATCATCAGGCTAACCCATCCCCCCAACCCCCTCCCCTCTAGAACCCTCAGTTTGTTTCTCAGAGTCCATAGTCTCTCATGGTTCGTCTCCCCCTCCGATTTCCCCTCCTTTATTCTTCCCTTCCTGCTATCTTCTTCTTCTTTTTTTTTTTTAACATATAATGTATTATTTGTTTCAGAGGTACAGGTCTGTGTTTCAACAATCTTACACAATTCACAGCGCTCACCATAGCACACACCCTCCCCAATGACTTTTTAAAAAAGATTAATACATATAAAATGACAAGACTGTTAAAACCTTTGATCTAATAATTTACTTTAATATGGTGGCTATAAAACATAAAAAAGCTTTAAAATGCTGATTTCCTAGTTTTAAGGACAGTTTGAACTAGTCCAGCTTCCCTTAGTCTACTATTCTGCATATGTATGTGCACTAAATGGTACTACATTGTACTACTTCTTTGATCAAAAATATATTTCTTTATTGCTGTTTCTCTGGCAAAGGCTTTTTTTTTTATGTGGTAAGGAAATCTGGTTTCTTATATAGAACACTTCTTTAAGGATTTAAGAATTGACCACACTGTGCAGGTTCCAACTGTAAAATTGAAGTGTTAAAAATAAGTTATATGAAAAACCAGAATACAAAGTAAGATAGTTTTTTCAGCCTGGTAATAAAGATGTGTTGAGTGCTTGTTTATACAGTATGTCTTATTTAATACCATGTATATTTTTATTTCAATTCACTTCAACAAGAATTTATTGAACAGTTACTGTGTGCTTATATTCAAAATTAAAATTAATGTCTTCTTCCTCACTTTCTCTACAGAATTCTACTCATAGATTTAGCAAAGTTTTACCAATTACTTTATACCAAACTGCTTATACCAATTGCTTTCTACAATATCTATTTTCTATTCCATGGATAAATTATAAATTGTTTGAAGACAATGAATTTTAAAAATGTCCTCAATGAGCTAGTATTGTAGTTTGAAAACATTAAAAAAATATGTAAAGTCAGTAGGTATGCTAAAGAAAATAATTTTATTTATTTTTAACTTTATGGTACAGTTTTGTAGCTTCTAATAGAGACAGTGGCCTCACTTATCAATATTACCATTTCCAGAGGAATGTACAAGGAGTGGTGAGGAAGAAGATATTCCTTAGTAAGCTAGATAAACTTGATGAAGATAACAATCATGGGTTGTCTTTATCCTCCTGCAAGCTCTTCAGTGAAATCCAGCATTTACCCTAAGTTAGGGAGCTCTCAATAATGAATGACTTTACTATCCAAAAGTAATGTACTGAATGGAGTACTGGGTGTTATACGCAAACAATGAATCATGGAACACTACATCAAAAAACTAATGATGTAATGTATGGTGATTAACATAACATAATAAAATTTTAAAAAATGTAAAAAAAATATTTATAGAAAGTAATTTTAAAAAAAGTAACTGATGGGCCTCCTGGGTGGCTCAGAGGGTTGGGCGTCTGCCTTGGACTCGGGTTGTGATCTCAGAGTCCTGGGATTGAACCCCATGTCGGGCTCCCTGCTTGGTGGGGAGCCTGCTTCTCTTTCTCCCTCTACTGTTCCCCCTGCTTGTGCTCTCTCGCTCTCTCTGTCAAATAAATAAACAAAATCTTAAAAAAAAAAAGTAACTGAGGTTTTCTACATCGGACTGATCTAATAAAGAATTCAAAGAAGAAATGTTTTATGTATATTGGTAAATAATTCTCTCTCCACTAAAGAAACACATTCACTAATCACTTAAATTAAAATGGCATATTCAAACTACACAAAAAAAGTATAATAAAACAGACACCCATATAGTTTAGTGGTTGAGCACATGGGCATTGATGTTATAAGACCTGGGTTTGAATCACAGTTCTTTCAATTGTGATCTCTGTGACCTTTATAAATCTTTGCAAGACTCAATTTCCTTATTTGTAAAATGATGATACTATTATCCACTTCCAGAGTTGCTTTAGTGATTAAATGATTACCTCCCCCAGAGTAAGAACTCAGTAAATGAGAGCAATTGTATTACTTGTCCTCGGTATTACTTTTATTCTGATCTTTCAATATTAACTAAAATACTAATTTAAATACTTTTATTAATCCTACCTTTATTGTTAGAATAGGCAAATTAAGATTGGCTACCGACATCCTGGTTTCATCATTTTTTTCTAATTGCATTTACTTTAGAAGTTAAACGAAAACATATTATAGACATTTGACCCCTAATATAACAGTTAAACCAAATTACATTATGAAATGCACATTACATTATGAAACCCATAAACTGTGATCAAGAAGCCAATGTAAAATCTCTACTCTAACTGAAAAGATATGTTACATCTACATATTTTTATTTACACATTGTAAAATTATAAAATAAATATAATAATATTATAGAATATTTGGAATATAAGGAGAAAAGAAAAATACTGCTCATAATTCTATTTTCTTAACA